GGCCCGAAACGTCAGCCTCTCTGCTCCTATGATGCTGCTTGGCCTGCTGTGTTCATCCAGCCCTGCACCTTAGCATGGGCCAATTAGCCAGTTCACTGCTGTTCATTCTTTGGAAAGTATGATTTTCTGTTCTTTCTCTTTTTAATTTGAAGTCATTTTATTATTTTCAGGGTGAACTGAACAATGATCAAGATGTTGTCGATTTCATAATGAATCAGCCGAGTATTGTTCCAAGAATCAATTCCAGAATCCTTAGCTCTGAGAGAGATTACCTTGATTTATCTGCTGAAGGTAAGAGCTATAAAGTGGCTTGGGCTGGAGTCAAGGTGTTTTGATAAGATTCGAAAGCATACTAGTTTTCATTTTCTTTGAGAATAACGCAAGACTTTATGAAGCGATTCACTATTTAAAAAGTAAATTGAAAGTACAATATAAGTGGATCACCTGGAATAGTTTAAATTCCTCCACTTAATGTATCGATTCAGTGCAGGTTTCCAGTTCCATGAGCCCCAATTTCCACGTTGAAGTGGGACTCTTCCAAAGCAAGATTATTGAATCATTTTGATGGATGATGATCTCATTGAAATATATAGAATTCATTCATGGATATTCAGCCTCGGTACAACATGAAAATTATGGTGTGGGGTAGTTTTAAATTGTAAATGCCTTTGATTGGGCAAGATGAAGAAATAAAGGAAAAGAAAGATAAGTGTTTGCTAATGATTTTCTTGTCTGGAGCTGATACATAAAATTCATTTGAAAGAACATAAGACGATAAGTCCATAAGAAACAGGAACGGTCAATCTTGCTCTGCCATTCAATGGGATCATAGTTGGTCCAACATTCTTCACGTCCACTTTCCTGCCCTTTCCCCATTACCTTTGATTGCTCCATTGATCAAGAATCTATCTATCGCAGCCTTAAGTAGACACAAGGACTCTATCCACTCTGGCAACGAATTCCAAAGACTCTCAACCTTCCAACAGAAGAAAATCCTCCTCCTCTCAGTCTTAAATTGGTACCCCTCTATTCTGATAATATGCCTTTTGTCCTGGATGCTTCCATGAGAGGAAACATCCTCTCAGCATTTATCCTGTCAAGCCCCTTAAGAATTCTGTATGTTTCACTGAGATTACCTTTCATTCTTCTAAAAACCATGTGTAGAATCCCAACCTGTTTAGTATCTGCTCACAAGACAGTCTCTCCATCCTGGAGATCTTGCGAGTGAACCTTCTCTGAACTCCCTCCAATGAAGTAATATCTTCCTTTAAATAAGGGGACCAAAACTGCTCACAGTGCTTTAGATGGGGTTTCACCAGCACGTTGTACGGTTGCAGTAAAACTTTCGTACTCTTATGCTCCAAACCCCTCAAAATAAGGGCCAATATTCCATTAGCCTTCCTGATTACCTGCTGCACCTGTGTGCTAGCTTTCCGTGTTTCATGTACAAGTACCTCCAGACTACTTTGTGTTGCAGCTTTCCGCAGTTTTTCTTCATTTAAATAATACTCTAATACATGAACCATTTGAATAAAGTTTGATATCCTTAAATGAACTTTGCCTTAACCAAGTTTGGGCAAATTAGCTTACATTGTCTCTCTGTATGTGTTCTCACTTTGCATTTTACCAGAAAATTGATATTTAAGCTGCTGACGGTTTATCTTATCATGCAGATTGAACTTACAGAATTGATTTTGCATTTTTCAGGACTTCGGCAGGTGTCCTTTAACAGTTTGTAGTTACATTTAGAAATAAACAGTACACCAAATAAGTGTTAAATGAACACCCATTTTCTTACAGCTAAGGATAGTGTGGATGACTATTCGCATTTTGCTTTCCTAAAATCTGAGGAAAAGTCTGCAGCAGTCGCCAACAATATGCAGTATTTGTCTAAAAGAGGTACAGTACTTGGTATTGAAATGTTGTGTTGTTTTTTTCCTTGTTGGTATAATATTATTTATTTTACTGTGTACACAGTCTCCATGGTACTTTTCATGTTAACTCTGATGCCATGTTGTCTTAAGTCATAAGAATACTAACTTGTAAACCTCAAAATTTCTTCTGCTAAGTTTTTTGCTGTAGTCAACCATCTAATTGTTAAAGATCAGTTAAGCTGCAGCAAACATTCTAGTTTTTTGGGGATATCCTTGTGTGGTTAAATACTTTTCTTTAAATAGGTTGCAGCTATGACTCCCCTCTTATCCAATGCTAGCCTGAGTCTCCCACGTGTTGTAGCCAAAAGAATTCATGACTCTTTGGTTATTCTGGAACAGACCAGCATCCCTGATGCTTGTGCCATTTTTAAAAGGCTGTTGTGCCCTCAGACAAACACTGTTAGCCTGGAAGTACCCTGCAGGATTTGTGATGTTTTCCCCAGACATGATATACAACAGTGAATTTTGAAATCAACATCTGAAATAAGCCACAACAGTGTGACTGACAGGTGGAATGTGCTAGATAACCATTTATCAGCATATGTAGCCATCTCACATTAATGGATGCAAATCGAAACGGGGTGGAGACTGACAGTTCAGGGTTCATTAAAATTTGCATTGTTTTATGATCAAGCAATGATTAACCTCATTGATTTAAAGCTTTATTGTCTAACGATTAGATTTTGTGGCCTTAAGAGACACAAATTCAGCGTAATGAGTTGAAGAGTACATTTTGGATTCTGTTCTTTTACGCAATGTACTGTAGTGCCTGGTTTGCAGACAGAACATACTGGAAATCAGATCTGCACAGAAAGAGAGTTAATTGTATCAGGTTGCTGACATATCATCAGAACCTGACTTTAATATTAGTCAATAAGAGGTCAACTAATATATAAATATCAAACCTTTTTTTTTGTGCACATATTGTTTGTAAGCTGTTTGAAGTTTGCCTGACACCCCTCCTGATTCTAGTATCCAAGATCAGTTTATGGTAATCATCTCTTTTTCTACTTGTGCAGTGGTGCAAAGCTGTTAATTTGCTTCTTGTAATGTAGTTTGCAAATGTTGAAAATCCATCATCGTATTTTAATTACATTCATCCCACACCGTCACTAGTAGCAAAATAATTCTGAAAGTTCTTTGAAGGTGGGAACAGGTGCAGGGATATGTTAGTAATGTCTTTTGAATCTATTCTAAGTAAAATAAAGAAAAGACTCCTTCAACATTACCCACTCTACATTACCTGTGAACAAAAAATATTCCACTTTGAGAACAAAAGTGTGCTGAATCATTTGATATAGTCTGAGAAAGAACGAAAGTAAAAAATCATCCTTACCCTTGTCTCATCAGGGAATTTGCATATTATGTTCTGATCTGAGCAAATTGGCATTCCACATTCTTGCTGTGCTCGTGACTAAATATATTTCTGCTCAATTACCTGTATGATTTCTTGGTGACTAGTATTGATGGCCTCTAGTTTTGCGGTTTCCCGAATTAAGAATCTCGCACTATTGTCCTTGATTGACCTCGTTAATTGCCTACCCTACTCCTATGCTGTCCATCTAATCTAAAACTAATTTGAATCTCCTACTAGTAGTCAGAGAGCTCACCACTCTTTGGTTGTTCTGGAAATGCCCTGCAGGATTTGTGATGCTCCCCGCATACATAATAGATAAAGTAAATTTGCCGGCAGGCATGTTGAGGTCCTGGTGGACAGGATGATGCAAAGGACAACTCTCTCTTCTTTCTTTGGTTTGAGGCAGTCATCCAGGTCAGTGTGGTCTTAGCCATCTGGAGGAATACGCAACAGTCTAGGAAGAATGTTATTGGCCATTTCCACTCCACTTGACTGAGGCCCGTTGACAACCATGACCAGCTTCCGGACTTTGTGTCTGCCATAAAACGAGAGAAGTATTGTGAACCTTGTAGTTTTGGCTGAGGATGCAATGTGCAAAAAGTGAAGGCATTGGTGCTGTGGGGTTCCAGGTAGGCTCCGAGTGTGTGAGTATTAAGAGAGCAGGCAAGTAGTCCTGAAATTTAGCCTGTTCCAGTTCATGATTGGAGTACCTGTCCCTGTGTACAAACTGCCCATGTAGCAGCATTGCAAAGAGAGTTGTTGGTGCACCCTGACATGCAGCACGATCAGGTAGCAGCATGTGCACGTGGAAGTGCTGGGGTCCAAGATGGAGGTCTGGATGTAGAGGCCAGGTATCTGCTCAGATATTCAGTTTGGGAATTCTGGGCATCTGGTTTTCCCATGGCGGGTTTGTGAGAAACCATTCATAACTTTAAAAGCCTCTATTAGTCGTCCCGTAACCTTCACTCTTTAAGAGGAAATGGGACTTCACTTGTTCATTCTTTGCTGATCAGTTTGACCTCGAACTTCTAGTGTCAGTTTTGTAAATCTTGTTGTTTTGCATCTTCACCAATGCCTTTATCTCTATCGAGGTTCAACACAAGTTTTAGACTTTTTTTTAACATCCTGTGCACCACTTCCGTGTTACCTGTTATTTCCTTGGTCAATTTTTGTTGCTACATAATTGTAAGCACATTTTTAACCTTTTCACTTAGTCTATGATCTTAAATTTTTGATGTGAGCTGCTCAATAATTCATCCCTTTAGGTTGCAAACATGTTTCTTGAATAAAGTACATCATTATTATAAGTTTGCTATTTTCCAATTCTAGTCCTCTAGAAATAAATCCTTAGTGCTTGTTCTGTTGTTTTTTTAAGAGTTCATCGATCTGTATCACTACATTTAGTGATTTTATATTTTACTCCCAGACCCTTTGCCACAGTTTGTTTGACCCATTAGGAGCCATGCTGAGAGTAAGATAATTAAAATACAGTATAACATTTGTGACTGGAAACACGTTAAACATAAAGAATGTTGCCTAACTTTAGTTCAGTTTAAGTTTAGTCTATTGACAGCTAGACTCTGTACTGCATGAGGATTTTACACCTGCTGTGTAACAATCTCATCACTAAGACTGTGGAAGCCTGTTTTATCCATAACTGCCCATTACTTGCAAGGTTTATGAGAAATATGTGCTTTGCAAAAACCTGGAGTTTCCGCTCATTTGAGCTGTTTGGTTTTTTTTCTCCCAATGCAATTTGTCCCAAATCAATCAAACCAGCAGAAAAGAAATGGAATTTTAACCATAGGTTAAGTTAAACATAGTTTCTGTGATCTTCATCATTATCATAGAATCCCTACAGTGTAGAAACAGGCCATTTAGCCCAACAAGTCCACACTGACCCTCAAAACATCCCACTGAGACCCATCCCCCCTATAATCCACCTAATCTACACATCCCTGAACACTATGGGCAATTTTAGCATGACCAATTCACCTAGCCTGCACATCTTTGGACTGTGGGAGGAAACCGGAGCGTACACGGGGAGAATATGCAAACTCCACACAGACAGTCGCCCGAGGGTGGAATTGAACCCTGGTTTCTGGCACTGTGAGGCAGCAGCGCTAACCACTGAGCCACCGTGCCTCCCCTCTTAGGGTAGTTTTAGAGAAAATTTTGTGTTACTGCTCCGATTGGGTCACTTTGCTCTAGATTGGAAACTTGAAATAAACACAACTCAAAATACAAACCATTAGTCCCTGACTAGCCAACTGCACCTAAAGCAGGGACTTTGTCCCCATGTGGTAATCTTTTATGACTAGCGGCACTTTTTGCTCAACTAGGGGATACCCATTAGAACAGCAGCCTGGAAGGTGCCATGCAGGCCTCCTTGTGTGGAAAAATAATTTGGAGGCAAAGCTGAGCAATGAATTGAAGTGACCATTCACTACAAAGACTGGCTGCGCACCACAGTTGAATTTTAAAGTAGCAGAAGTTGGTGTTATTAGTTGCTTACTGTGTATTTTTGTTTTTCTGAAATTGCCCCGTGTCTTAATAAATCTGACAAAATAAAGACCAGTAGGCTCCAAGGGAGAACATAGATGTGCTATAAATGCTGCAGCGGGGTTATAACTAAACGGTGGCTAGTATTTCAATGGCATGCTGCTCCATTTCAGCACTGATAGAGGATGCAGAGTTTGGTTTCTTTGACACTCCTAATGCTTATGGAAATAACTTTTAAAATAAACATTCAAGTAAAAGTTGGGACAACATCAGTGTACACTTTCCACCTTCAGAAAAGATCTGTAATTGTATCTGTGGTGATTGTAATAAGATCAGCAGCTGGACCTCATAGAATGAGTTCCCCAATTGAGGCTGTAAATCTGGGCCAATTAGGGAACTCTGGCTGACATAAAAAGGATTGAGTGTCAGAGATGCTGACTCTCTGCTGCCTGACTGGGGCAGTACTAATAGCCAAGGACTGTTCATGTGTAAATAAAGGGTGACTTGGTGACGGGTTACTGGTCTCTATGGAATTATTTCAGTGGCAACGAGAGTAAAACACGATCCTGAAGAGTTTTCCGTGCAACAGTCATGTTTGAGTTGGGATAAGCATTTCTTGCACCATGCCTTTGTTTGGGAAGCTTGACGCATTCTCCCCTGCAATTGAGGACTCGGCCCAGTATGTGGAAAGACTGCATTATTTTTTCCAACCAAACAACGTTGTGACAGATGAAAAACAGCAAGTAATTCTCCTGATGGTCAGTGGAGCTGAAGCTTTTTCTGTCATTAGGAGCCTAATTTTCCCAGGACCACCATGTACTGAAACCTTTTAAGAATGACTGACATAGTTAAGGAATATTACAACCCCAAATCTCCTCTAATTCTGAGGTGCTATTGCCTTTACTCAGCAATTTAAGAACAGGCGAATTTGTATTGGGGTTCTTGACTAGGTGACTGGCAGAAGACTCTGAATTTGGTTTACCCTTTGTGAGATGCTTAGAGACCATTTGATCTGCAGAATTAATGATGTAGCGATGCAAAAACCCCTAACTGAAGCCCAACCGGACTTCTATCAGGTGCTGTAACTAGTTTTATCTTGGGAAAAT